GGTTGGTTTGTAGGCCCCCCCCCCCCCCCCCCCTCGGCTGGCGGCAGCGGGAGGGACGGAAGGGATGGGTCGCGATGGACGAGGTTTGCGCCGCGTTACGCGCGCGCTTGCGAAAACGTGAACACAGGCGGCTGCAGTATTGTAGGTTCCTCGGGATATGGATCTCAGGCAGCAAGGGGAAGCAGGATGGAAGGCAAATGGAGGCGTGCTCATGTTTTTGCACGCCTCAAAAGGTATTAGATCATTGACCACGCGTAGGATGGAACAAGGCGAAAGACGGGGGGGGTGGGGGGGGTTATGCACGATGACCATACAGATCTAGTGAAAGGAAGAGGTCAAATCAAGAATTTTGGGTCCATTGGTACCCACTACAAGAGTCGTTCCTCGGACCGTGGATGTGTGTTTTTGTTGTCAGGGGGGTGGGGAGGGATTGTGACGGCGGCGATGATTGATACTTTAGTTCCGTTGCTGGTGATGGTGAGATGGTGGAATTTCTTGAGGAGTTCTTTGTTGTTCTCTCTCGTTCATCGTCTTTTTTTCTTCTTTTCGCCACCCCCCTCGATCAATCCAAATCTCAAGCACCATATAGTTCTATTAATGCCAGTTGAATGTGTTGTGTTCCGAACCTTGATCTGGTCTAGCTGGTTCTTGTCTCTTTTGTCTTTTAAAGGTTGTTTTGGCTTGGTTTTTTTTTTTAAGGCAAAGGGCGCACCATCCACCAAATGGGGAGAGGTCTCTATCTCGACGAATTGAGTATGGTGAATTTTAAAAAGCCATGTCCTCGATGTTGTATACGGAAGCTCGTGTTGTTTGTTTGGGGGGAAAGGACGGATGAATAGACTATATGGGGAATCCTGCAGCGATTTTCCGCAACATACGCAGCAGGGGAACGGGGGGAGTGGGGGGGGGGGGCGCTCGGACATCGACGGTTTCGCCACACCCCCTTCTTCGTATTGCAAGCTTGCACCCCTCCCTCCGTATCTTCAGGTTAGGTTACTACTTGAGGCATACACGGGGCACTGCTGTGTGCCGAGTGACACGACGTGTTGTCGGTTTGCCTCTGGGACACCTGCTGCTGTGTTGGATTATCGTTTCGGGAAGGAACCGCGCACCCACCCACCCACGTGAATCATGTCGTGTGTGGCGTCATGATGAAAAATCTCGAGTCGTTCAATTCATCAGTAGAGTCGCAAGGAATACTCTTCGTCATATGTTCCATACGAAACGTTGGTATCAGGGACGGTGGTCGCAGAGAGAAGCCGCCACCAACACCAGCACCCACAGGTGACACATGGCCTGCGGAAGAGAGGGCAAACCCGAAACAATACAAAGAGAAAAGAGTGTTTTGTACAACAAGTAGCTTGTCGCCAACAAGGTAAAAGCGCCCCATGTTCATTCGTCCGGTATGAAAATCACCCAATGACGACGTCGACCGGTTGCAGAATGCGCTCTACTGCTAGAGTCAGCATGAGCACGGCGGCAACAAGCACGAAGGATAGGATTTTGGAGAGAGACTACGCATACCAGGAAGAAAGCGAGGTACCCCCCCTCGCTCCGTATTTTTTTCTCGTACAGTTGTGTAGGGGGGTTCAAAATCCCATTGCGCGGGCCGCTGGGTGCGATCTACGACGACAGCGCGAAGCCGGTCAGTGTGTAGTGCTGTCCACACGGAGCGGCCATGGCAACAGCCGAAGGCGGATCCTCACGGGTGACGCCGCCGGATGCTGGTGATGTGATCGAGATCGACAAGAAGTTGGTGGGTGCTCCTCAAAAGGAAACAAACTTATTGGACACACACAGCACACACACACACGCGGTGCCTCTAGAGACAAGCAGCAAACACACATTCATGTCTGCGAGGCAGGCTGCTCTCATGCCGTTATAGCAGGGTAGTCGTAGTATCAGCAGCTATGTATACCCCGTAGATACCCCAATGGGTCATTCAGACGGCTGTGCGTGTGACAGACCGGGAGTATTGTGGGACGACTTTTTGAATTCCAAGGTGTCCTCCCGCACACACCGCCTGAGTTGCGGGGTCTCTCTCTTGAGTGCACTGACCAACCATTGAACAACCTGAAAGCCACGGGTGGACTGGTGACTGGTGTATATCTCAACACCCCGACCTTGAGTCACGCCCACTGTTTGTAGAAGGCGGGTGTGAAACTCTGCCGCTGTCGTGTTTGAACGCGCTGTGTGGAAAGCCCGGAGCACCCATATAGCGCCACATATCCTGGGCAGTCAAGAGAACTGTGCTGTGTGTTTGTGTCACATAGTTTGTGTTGGGTCGTGGACACAAGATTGAACCCAAATTGCCCCGCATTCCATGGCGTTTGGGCCTTTGGGGCACGATCTATCTTAAGGCCCAAAAGCAAGGAGTTCGCGAACTTCCCACGGAGCCACAGCTGTCGGCATGAAGTTCCAATTCTCCCGCTGATGACGACTTTCAGGTCGTCCATGTCCATTGTACAAGAAGGAGTGTTATCAGCAGTGCAGAGAAAGACGCAAACTATGAGCAACCTGTCGTACACTATTCGAACCATTGAGCTTTTTCGACTACAGGAACAGCAACGTTGTTAAGTTTCGATGCAGACCTCTCTGCGTACACACATCGTATCGTCCGTAGCAATGCTCTTCACCCTGCATCTTGCATCCACGGAGCCCCCCCCCCGCGAAAACGAAATCGAACTCAAATTCAAACACAATACCGCGGGGTGCGTGTCGACTTATTTTCTTTTCTTTTTTTGCTCTTTTGGCGTTCATGCACGGCGCACGGCTCTCGTTACTCGGTACTGCATGCAGTAGACGACGAAGTCGAGTGGGGTGTCATGTGCCAATGTTCTTTACTGTAATAGTGGGAGAGAAGTTAACCAGGTCCGGTCTCTCCCTCAACACCACTCTCTGAAATGCAACCATATTCACACCCTGTCTTCGCAAGATACAGCAGAAAGCCGCATGTGATGGAGCAGTAACTTGGGGGCCGTTTCATACACGGCGATTTCGCTTCCAAGTTTCTAAATTTCTAAATTCCGACTTTTCCAGATTTCAAACTTTTCGGTGCCAGTAGTTTCCAGATAATCCAATTTCCAATTTTTCCCCCTCGGCAGGCAATCGAGGGTCAACGGTCTACGGATTCGGAGATTTGCAAATTTGGAAGCGAAATAGCTGCTGTACCAAACGGCCCTTACTCCGTCTGTGCAGCATCCGCCTTTGTATTGGGCCGTTTGTTTGTTTAGTGCATTGGCCCGGGGCGCATGGTCGCAATCTGCGCCACACACACGCATGGCACATACTTACTCGCCTTGAAAGGCTGTGCCCTCGAAAGTTCTGCACGGAACAGCACCAACAACCAAGTATCAGCCGAGAAAAGCGGAGCGAAAACCATTCACATAAAAAATTACGATGACGTCGCTCACTCGCCGACCTTACAACACAACACCCCCCCTCAGGTTGACATGGTCGAGGCCGAGCAGCAGTTGCTCTTCTCGATATCCATGTACACCCCCCCCAAGGCCGCCCGCGTCGCCCGCGGCCGCGGCCGCCGGGCCCACGACGGCGACGAGGGCGGGGTTGGTGATGATGATGATGATGATGATGGTGATGATGGCGGCGACGGGACTGTCATCGGGGGCAGGGTGGGCTTGGAGCAGGAGGAGCAGCTCTCGCTGGAGGAGCGGCATGAGCGGATCTGCCGCTTTGTTTCCGTGGTTCACCGGTGAGAGACGAGAGGTTGAGAGAGTGGGAGACGAGAGGGTGAGAGAGTGAGAGACGCGGGCCAGGCGCTCTTCGTTCTTGCGAGAATATATCCACCAGTATCTCGCTTGTTTTGCTCGAGTTTTTGGTAGCAATGGTACTAGTCTTGAAAGGTTATAGTCTTGTTTGTGATTGTGTTGTATGGTTTGTGGTGAACGTTTCAGTTTCATCTATTTCAGCGATTGTGTTTTGTGAATTGCTTTGAACAAAACAAGTTAATCTCTGTCGGTGATTGTGTATGTTTTGTCGATTTATTCTCTCTATCTGCAGACAGAAGAGTCCAGGGTAAGATAGCAAAGCTTATGCATGTTCTCGTTTTCATGTGTGTCTTTGGCCGTCTGACGCACTCTCCCATGTGCGTTCAGTATCAGATGCTCGTTTGTTTCATTCGTCCTCTGTTTCTCGTCGGCATAGTATTAGGTATTCCTGAACGCCCCCTCCTGGACCCCCCCCCCCCCCCACGCCATGGTTGTTCCCGGCAAAGGTCTTTCGAGAGCAGACAATCGTTGTTGTTAATTTGTTACCTGGGGTTCCCCCTTTCTTCAGGTCCTGGTCCCTTCGGTGTGTAAGACCTATAGTAGTTATTCATATCTTGGTCTGTGTCTGCAGGATTGTGTGGCAAATGCGTGCGAGAGTAGGGAGCTTTTTTTTGCGTCTTTTTCCGTGCTTCTTCACGGCAGCGCGTTTTCATTGGTCGGCCGGTTGGCGCTGCCGGTGTCAGCTACATACATAGAGCCACAAACACGCACACTCAAAAGGCTGAGAAAGCGTGTTGTGTAGCGTTTTTTGCGTCTATTTATTGTTGATACTGACGTCAGCAACGGCCGGACGGTGGATGCTAGTCGAAGAAACACGCACTCATACATGCCACCGTTGCTCTGAAGGGGTTTCCATCGTCTCTGACTCTGCTTGATTCTTCTTAGGTGTCCGCATGTTTCCCCCCTCTTCAGTACGATACATGGAAACCGCAATTCCTCGGAGATTGGGGGTTGAGACTGGCTCATATGTACCTCACTCAAACCATTCGGGTGGCAACAGACGGCGGTTCACAATACGTCGTACTGAGGAGGATGGAAGTCATACGGACACAAAGACGATAGAAGCAGAGTCAGAGACAATGTTATCGAAGAAAATAAGGGCTTCGATCCCTTCAGAGCCACGGTGGTATTTAGTAGAGAGGATTCAAACAAGAGATACAGGGAAAATGAATGTCATGAAGCTGGTATGTATGTAGTAGAAATCTCCCTGGCGCAAAGCGAAATCCGATAGAACGAAACCCGGTACAGGGCAATGATGCTAGTATGGGAGAATCAGATGGTGTACCAACAACGCTGCTTGGTGGTTTTGAGTCTTCTCGTACTTCAGAAGCAGGACGCCCTGTCGTCCAATTCCAATTCCTGCGCCCCCCCAGTGGGTAGAAAAAACCTTTGATTAGAAAACGTGTTGTTTGGCGTTTTTTTTCGAGCTATTTTTTTAAACTGGCGTGTTATCATTGGTCGGCCGACTTTGCGGGGTCGAACGCAAAAACACACACACACACACACGCACATCGCGGCCCATTTCTTTTCAATGGAATGACCACAGACGCGCACACACCGGTTAGAGAGGTCGATGCTGACAAACACAAACACACACACACACACAAGTGTTTTGTGTTTTCATTGGTCAAGCCGGTTAACGTGGTTGATGCTAATACGGTAACAAAAACAAACACACACACACACACACACACACACACACATCACGGCCGATTTTTTTCAATGGAATGAACACACACGCACCCACACGCCGGTTAGCGAGGTAGATGCTGATAAACGCAAACTCACAGACTTCTTCAACCCCCTCTACCTTTCTCCCCCCCCCCGACACCCCCGACACCCCCGACAAGGTACCTGCCCAACGCCAAATTCCTGGTGCACGTGGAGGTCGACATGCCGGAGCGGCTCATGCGGGAGGTGCTCCGGGCGAGCGGGTGGCGGACTCGCTTCATCGTGTACGAGATAGTGGCCAAGCTGTTCGACGCTCCCACCAAGCCCGGGGTGGTGCCGGCACCGACGGGACGCTCTCCCGCCGTTGCCGCGGCCGCGAACCTGAAGCTTAGGGAGGCGGCGGAGGAGAAGCTTGCGGCCAAGAGGGAGAGGAGGGAAGCGGCGGCGGCGGAGGGGAAGGGGGGTGGCGATGAGGAGGACGACGACATCGACTTGGAGACGGCTAGAGCCCTCATCGCTGCCGAGGTTCCGCTGATGGAGGTAGGTGGTAGGTGGCCGTGGTGCCCTTGGTCTTTTTTGTGGATACCAGATGATGATTGCTTCATCATTTCCGCAAGGAAAAGAACTATGAAGACGTTGTCGGCTTCTTTTGCCCTCACGCTCAGTTGTTGCTTGGATAAATGGAGCACTTGGTGCTGGCTGCCCGAACGCCTCACGCTAACACCGGTCGTGTTCGGGTGCTACAGTAGGTCTGCGGTCGCGATGGCTTACGTCATTAATTCGTGGTCACGACTATCCCCCCGGTGATCGGTCCTGTGGGAAAAGAACAATCCTCCGTCCTCTCGAGGACGCGTTGTCAATGGTCTAACAGCTAAGGCGTGCAAGGCATGAGTACCCCCCCCCCCTCCCGCCATAAGCTTGGAAACACGCCTCCCCGTACCGCCCGATCGCTCAGATGTCACACCCTCACGTCCGGGGCTCCGTGATCGCGGGTGAACTGATCGGAGCCACGTTCGCCAAGAACTTCGGGCGCGACGGCATGTGGGAAGGGACGGTGACGAAGGTGAGCACCTTGTAGAAGAGCAGGGGGCCCCGCGTACTGCTTTGCCGTAGGGGGGGGGGTCTCGCACGTGACTCCCACGACAGAAGGGGGGGTTGGAAAATGTAGGCGAGGCGTGAGCACGCAGGAAGTGTGGTTTTGGGGCGCTATGTACATACCATGCTGCTGCTGTGTGTACGCTTTCAACGTACTCGACGGTCAGGCTGTTGGTGTGCGTTTTTGTTTTGGGGGTTGAACCTGGCGAACTGCTGTCAGTAGTCGGGGGGCTGAAGGTGAGGGAGGGGTGTCGAGTCGCCGGTGTGCAACCGCGGAGCCCCCGGTCGAGGTTGTGAGCGTTTCGCTCTCTCTCTCTCTCTCTCTCTCTCTCTCTCTCTCTCTCGTTCCTGCGTTAGTTTCATTCCCTCTCTCGCCATCTACTGTACGGGCGCGTGCACACACACAAATTAGCCGCGTGGGGGAGGAGAGAGTATAGCCGCACGGAGGGCATTCAGCGGCGCGCTTACACCCGGCTTGCTCCAAACCGCGCGCATTGCTTCCGGGCCCGGACCCAGAAAACGGTTTGCTCTTGAGCGGCTGCCGTGATGAACCATTCCCCTGACCGAAAGCACCCCCTTTTTACCCGACGATCGACCAACACAACAAAATATCAGTTCCTGCCTGCCAAGAACACCAAGCCGTCCTCGCTGTACTACAAGACCGGGACCAGCGCTGCCGGCGCGTCGTACTACAAGGCCGGAGCCACCGCCGCCGCGCACGCAGCAGTCGCCGCCGCCGCCGCCGCCGCCGCCGCCGCCGCCGCCGCCGCCGCCGCTGCCGCCTCCGCGAAGCTTAAGGTCAAGGCCAAAGTCAAGCCCCCGTGCGCTGCCGGAGTAATGACCAACAGCACCGCTACTACCCCCGCCTCCGCGCGCGCTACCCCGGCCGCCGCTGCCGCTGCAACCCCGGCACCTGCCCCCGCCCCCGCCCCCGCCGCTTCCGCCGGCGTTCTCGGCAGAAAGCGGCTCAGGATCCAGGTGGACAGCTACTCGCCGTCGCCCCCCGCTGTTTCTCCGGCGCCTAAGGCGGCGGGCGGGAGGTCTACGAAGGGAAAGGGGAAGGGGAGGGCAGCGGCGGTGGTCGAGTCACGGAGCCCCAATGAGAGAGGGGGGGGCAAGGCCGGCGGCCGTGGGGTGAGCGTCAAGGCAGAGGCCGAGCGCCCCAATAAGCGGAGGCGTTCTGCTGCCGGGGGGGCGACGGGAGGGGGGGTGGGGGTCAAGGCGGAGGCGGCGGAGGCGGAATCCGCCACCCCGACCGGCGGAGGGACGCTGTCGAGAGAGTCGTTCCCCCTGGATGCGGGAGAGGTGGGTGATTTCTTCTCTTGTTATTGTCGTCGTTGTCGTGGTGGTCGTGGTGGTCATGATGGTGGTGGTCTATGGCTGTGGAGTGTGTCTTGTGCAAGTAGGCTCTTTTGTCGTGTTGCTCCCGATAGGCGTCGCCACGGTGGTGCGGCACATTGTTGAAGCGGTCATGACTTTCCCGATGGCGCGGGAAGGAGAGGAGAGGAGGGGGGGGGGGGGGGGGGGGCGTGGTCGCGGCCGAGGTACGCGGGGAACTTTAGATTTCTGGCTCATCTGGCTACCCTTTCCTGTTGGATAAGGGGACGGAGAACTTCCTAATCCTTGAGGTGGAGGGTCGAGGGCT